ATGTCCACAACTTGACCAGCCACCAACCCTTCAGCCCCAATGGATTTAGCTAATTCCCCAACTGCTCTCACGATTCTTCCAGGCGTAACACCAACAGTGGCAACAGCTATGTGTTCAAAAGCAAAAGCCAAAAGGGCATCCCCTGCTAATACAGCTATATCTTCACCGAAAACCTTGTGATTGGTCGGTTTTCCTCTACGGAGATCGTCGTTGTCCATGCAAGGAAGATCGTCGTGGATTAAAGACATGGTGTGGATCATTTCGATGGCGCATGCGGCCGGCATAGCCATGGATTCTTGCCCACCAACGAGGTCACAGGCGGCTAAACAAAGCAAGGGACGGACCCTTTTGCCGCCTGCTAACAGAGAGTAACGCATTGCTTCATGGATTTTAACAGGGTCACGAAGCGAAACAGCTGAATCCATGGCTTGGTTAACCGAGTTCGCCTTGTGAACCATGTAGGATATGAAATCAAAGCTTGGGGTTTGATCTTGTTCCTCTCCCTTGACGGTGTCTTCTTTTGTAAGGATTGATGAAACCGAAGGAACAGATGTAAAGCATCGGTTTCGGGGGGTTGAAGATGAAAGATTCTTCGGATTCAAGGGAAACGATCTGGGCAAAGGAGAAGACTTGGATATGGAAGCTTGGTTGAAAATGGAGTAAGATTGAACCAAAGAAGCCAGATTCACCGAAGCCATTTCTTTTTCACTCTGGGGTGCCTCAAAGATTGGGTTTTTTCTATTAAAAAAGGAGGGATTTTCAGCGACAACGGTAAGAAGTTCAAGGATTCAGCTAAAAGTGGGAAATTCTAAAGCAATTTGCCTTCCACTTTCCAAATACAAACGGATCCAATTAAGAGCTTACCAAAGATGAATTGGTGGAAGGAGAACGAAGGGAAAGAATTTCAATGGCAGTGGAAGTGGATTTGCATTACCTCTAATATCAGCCAATCAGCAGCCAACAGGACAAAGATAGGATTTTTGGATTTGGGCAACTTGGCAAATGGCATCTTTCGTAATTCACACCAATATATATAATTTTTTTGAATAGATAGATATATAACCACATCATATAAATATGTAAATGTGCTGAAAATTGGATTCCGGTGAGTCAAGCATGGGCCTGTTTTCCCCCCCATTAGGCAAATTAGATGTGGCTTTGACGTTTTATTAGACGTACTACAATGCAGAACCACATCAAAACGAAATTGCATTCGCAATTATTCTTCCACTTCTGTTATAACTCAACATCACAATCTTAATGTTTAATAGTTTGGTGATTATGTACATATCATCATATCACCGTCTTTCACTAATAAAAGAAAATATTAATTTTTTTAATAAAAATTTTGAGTTTGAGCAACAATATTCACATACATGATATGTATTATCAATAAGTTAAGAAAATTCTGAACATATATTACCTTATAATAATCTCAGACTATTTCTTTATATATATATAAATACAATTACTTACCGATTCAAAAACAATAGGTGTAATATTGATTATCTTACTAAAAAGATTACATTAAACTAAATTTTGTCACACTCATGATTTAGGTGAACAAATGTATTTTTATATGGATAAATATATTTTATGGAAGCAATTAGTTTTAATAAAGATTAAAATAAACGTATATTAATCATACAACTAGTAATCATTAATATAAAAACTAGTTATTTAAGATCACACAAGTAGGGATGTGCACATTTAGATATCGAACCCGATTCGATCCGAAAATTTTGAATACCTAAAATAGTGATATGTATCCAATCCAAATATATGAATTCGAATTTAAATTTAATTTGATAAAAATAATTTTAATTTTTGTGATTTAATATAATTTACTCAATACTTCTACTATATTTTTTATACATATTTAATGACTCACACACAATAAATAATTAAATATCTTAATTTTTATTGAGTTGGAGCTTTAATGGTATTTAAAAGCCCAATTTTTTTTTCAGATTTTCGAATAATCCAATTTTTTTCGGATATCGTACGTTTATATGATTAAGTTATCCGATTTTTCTAATACCCTATTGAAATTATCCGAAAATAAAAAAATGTTCGAATATCCAAATTTTTGGATCGGATCGATCGAATCTTTTTGCACATCCCTACACACAAGGACCATACAAGTAAAATGTTAAAAATAAAACAAAAAAATCGAACAAAAAATAGATACTAATATATCTGACTGCATCGACAAACAAACCACAAAAGGAGATAAAACTATTAAAAGATCGCCGATAAACCGTAAATCAAGATCGAGCGAAATAAAAAAACTATTAACGAATGTAAATTGCGAATTCAAATCCAATTCAATAGTTCAAAGCAAGGGAGATCAACATGATAACAAATAAACATAATTTTAATTAATTGTTGCAATATCAAATCTAACCCTGAGAAAAAAAATAAACTAAAATAACAACCAAAATGTGACATAAAGATAGAAACAAACATGTCATAAATGCAAAGTAAATCGTGTCATAAAAACATAATTATTAAAAACTAAAATACAAAGAAACAACAAAGATGTGATATAAAAAAATTAGAGATATTAGAGAAAAAACAAGATATATCGAAGATAACAACTAATACAAAGGTTAATATTGTCGCCTATCAACCAAGAATGAAAAAAAAACTACTTTAATTTTTTGAAATAAAAGAAATTAAGATTAAAAAAATTCATAAATAGAAGAAAATAAATTATATAAACACATATTTTACTCAACATATGATGAAGGTAAATGATAAACCATCTATATATAAATTTATAAACATGTATTTACATGGGTGGAATTAAGAATTTATTTTAGTTGGGGTAAAAATATTTGTTATTTTCTATAAATATAGGTTTTTTTTTAATTTGAGGGACCTGTTAAATATTTTTATTTTTCAAAAATATATATTAAAATTAATTAATACTCAAAAGAAATTAGTGGGGCCAAGGCTTTCCTTAGCTCCATAAATTTCCGATCCTACGTATTCGATCCTTACACAACGGTTTTAAATTATTTTATTTAATGATATATAAAAATAAAAAATACCAAAAAAATAAAAACACTCTCGTAATAATATCAATTATCATTTATAAAATTGATTTCTCAACCATTATTCAGCTGAATCAATATCAAGTTGATTAGTGACTTTAACTCAATTAGACATGGGGATTATAATATAGACGTTTAATACTTATGAGGGGCTAAACACAAATTTTCCCATTTGAACAGGGTGCCAATCAATGTTCTAAAAAGAGGGTTAGCAAATAGAACCACGCAAAAGATTTGTGCTGGACTAAACCCGAATCAAGAAAGAAGTGCAGGGTTGAAAACCCAATTTTATTCAATTAGATAATGTAAAAGTTGATGTATAATCTCTCTCTATCATATCATTTCATTTCATTTACACTGAGCGGGGAATCTATAAATATTTTTCAGGATTGATACATGTACGTTAACAACATAACAATTTTAAATATGATTGGTATAAATGAAATTTCAGGATGGATACCGTTCGTAAAATAAGTAATTAATCGAAGAAAACCCATATTTCATGATGGATACTATCAGTAAAATAAGTAACTAATCAAAGAAAATTCGAATTTCAGGGGTGGGCACGTGATTCCACCACTGTTATTAATGGTATATTTATACACATCAGCTACATTCCTAACCACCTTATAACCATCTAACCGAATTGCTAACAATAAAACTGACTTTCAGCTAATTACAACGATACTCGATAGATAACTTGGGCGTGAAAAACAACATCGAGGGAGGGAGGGAGGGAGGGAGAGAAAGACTGCAAAAGCCAGCCAGTCCTTTGTCTTTCAGAGCAGCAATATGATCCTCGTAGAACACAAATATCAACTAAAACAGTGACTAAAAAAATTGATATCCGTAACAAATTCCATTAATATCCACCAGCAAAACTAATCCTCAACGAAAGAACTAAAGGGAAACATTAGACCAGTTCAATTCCCATCCAATAACTACATTCATCCAATAGCCCTCAACAAGTTCAAGCTTGATTGAATCACAATTAAGAAGAGACGACCACACCAAACAAAATTGAAACCAATGATAGAAAACATGAACACAGGAACACGTAGAGGGAAAAACTAACAACCAACCAGAAAACTACAATAACATGAGTAATCGAAACTCCAACCTCAACTACAAATCAGCACGAAAGTTGCTCTCAACCAAGTGTTAGGGACAGCCTACTACCCTATCTCCCCTTACCCCATTCCATATGGAAATAGGGTCAACTAGACAGTAGCCGCCTTCTCTTTTCAGCTTAATTTTGCTTCAAAATTATTACATTGATGGATATTTATAACTCATACCCAAAGTAATCAGCAATGGCCCAACAAAATATGGTCTAACTAATTAACAAACTAACCACTAGTGCTAACTTATTCTAACATATATCTCTTCCTTTGAACTTTACGTGCACGTAAATTTTCGTTCAAATGAAGAACAAACCAATGGAGAAGATCATGCAAAGCGTTGGGATCCCAACCCTAACTCCCAACTAGTATCATTTTGGATATAGACCACAACAGTATTATAACCCATCCTGAAAAGGAAATGCATTTTTAAGCCCATAGCTTATCTTCATTTGACTTTGTTTCCCCCCCTTCTATTTAATAGTAAAATTTAAGCACAAGTGTTAATTAAAGGAACCTTTTAATGGAATATTGACAAACTGGTCCTACCTTGGAATAAAATTTTGTTTCATGAATCAACAACTTGGCATTAAAAATTGTAGATAGGTGGAATAGATGAAAATTAAGGCATGAAAAATGGTGGGGGCCCCCAATATTATCTCCAATTTTTAAACATTGCTATCTTTTTTTTAGTGGTCCATTGTATTCTTCAGTAATGACTCAACCTTCCCATCTCAAGAGCATTAACTTCCTCAAAAAAAGAAATAAAAAATCCTCGAAATATTAAGGCATAGATTGATGGAATCGTATGGCTACAAATTTAAATTAATTTGCAAATATAAATAAAAAGGTGGAACTCCAATCCAGCCCCCACTGATCATAAAATCAACCCAAAACTATCCTACTTTTCCACCATCAATGTCTGCAACAACAAATATTTACAAGCTTCATAAACCAGACACAAAGAATGCCAAATCTCCTTGCAAGAAAGCCTATGTCCCCAAAACATCCGGTCTGGTCTTTTGAGTTTCACCTTAAGGCTACTACTGCCACAACAAAGTCCGTTTTCGTTTCTGCCATTGTTCGTAAAGAAACACCCCAACTGCCTCTTTGATGGCTTGCTGGTAACATCAGCAATGGCACTTTTTAGGAGAATTATAAGTTACGATCTGTACAGTGCATGTTTTTCAAGGAATAGTAATTGTTTCTCCCTAGTTATGAGCTCCTACCGAGGTCCTTGAAGGTAAAATCTGCACCTCCGAATGATGCAGCTGCTTCAGATACATCTAGTCCACTTCCGATGGAGGTGATAAGAGCTGGGAGGCCACCATTAGGGGTGCCACCAGCGGCCACCCCTAACCCGAGGAAATCAAGAGTGGTTTGTTTAGGACCGAATACAGGAGTTCCCATCATCAATTCCTTTAATCCTGAACTTTCATCACAAGGAAGTCCAAGTCCAAGTCCTGCTGCAATTGAGGCATTCTTGGGCTCAGCTTGTCTCTGACCCCATCGCAAATTATCGTGTTGGGCAGAAGATGAAGATGAAACAATACCGAGACCACGAAGCAATGATGTGTTGCTCGCTGCTGCTCCCATCTGAGCAGCTTTCTGCAGTAGTGCTGTGGCGGACATAGCAGGTTGCGGTGGTGGCGCGTACTGCCTGCGTTCTTGCCCTGCAGTTCCGAATATTGATGAGCCATGGTTGGTTGAGAGGCATAGAGAAATCGGTTCGGCAGATGTAGAAGGCGCAAGGTCAGCGGGACGATCTGGTCGGCTCATAGATTGAAATAAGTCGGTGAAAGCCTGAGGTTGTAAGCTAGCAGATTTAGTTGAGGGTGCAAATAAGCTGGCAAACATGCTGCTGCTATTGCTGATTGAGCCAGTGCTACTGCTACAGTTTACATTCACACTAGCTGGTGCCGGTGCCGGTGCTGGTGCTGGAACTGAAGCTCCTTGCACGGTAGGAATGGGATATTCAGACAACTCTGCAACAAAAAAACGACATAAATGGCGTGTAAAAAACATTGAAGGGACCAGACTTAAAAATCTAAAGCACAGTGGCATGTAAAGTTAAAAGATTGCTCTTTATGAAACAACTTTAGAGCGAAAAGCAGAATCAATAATAATTTCGTTTCTCATTAAATCCATTAGCTTTTGAATCAGTATGGTAATATATAAAAAACCACAAATCAGTCTCACAAGCTAAGGTACTAAAACCTCAAGAAAACAAGATCAGTAACAGACAAAAACCTACTATGTTCCAAGGTTAATCCAAAGACATAATAACAACAAAAACAATTTGTCTATGTTTGATTTTAAACAAAATCGCAATTAACAAGATCGAAAATATCCAAATTTGGTAACATATAAAAAACTTACCAGAACTTTTGATAGGAAAAACTGAAGAAGATATCAAACTAGTTGACTGAGGCAGAGCTGGTGCGGCTGAAGCTGAAGCTGCAGCCGAAGGCACCGGTGCCTTTGCTGGCTCCGGCTCCGCCGTTAGAGGTTTCGGATCGGAGTTCGATTTGGGATCGGCATCAGCCTGATTCTGATTCTTCTTGGGAGGCTCAGGTAGTGGTGGGGCTTTAGTACTCTCCTCTGCTAATGCATCACAGAAAGCTCTGTGGGTAATAAAACTATCCTTCCTGCCAAATCAAACGAAAAACAAAATCAAAAGTCAATTCCACAAAAGATGCAATTTTGTTAATTGGATCTTAAGATTGTTTTCAGCACCTGGAAAACACAGTTCCACAATCACATCTGTACTCTCTAGTACCACAAATCTTAGAGTGAGCTTTCCAGTCGGATTGAACAGCGTATTTTTTGGAACATTTATCGCACTTCCATTTCTTCTCTCCATGTTTTCTGCAGAAATGTTTCTTAATTCCCGTAAGATCGCCCAAAGCTCTCGATGGATCGTGATGAACGCAAGTCCGCTCAGGACAAACGTAAACTTTCTTCTTCACTTCGTTACTCGATCTTTGCCTAAGCTTCCATGGCAAATTATGGCCTCGTCTATGAAGCTGAAGGTTTTGGTCCCTTTGAAACCCTTTATTGCAAATTTCACAAACGAACCGGTTCGTCGCCAGTAAAGTCGTCGGAGATAAAGCGATCACCTCCGAATCTGGATCTGCAGCAGCCCAAAAAAAATCAAATCAGTAACAAGTTAAAATAAGGTTTGCCTATTTATTGATTAATGGTCAGTTGATTTTCGTGGCACCTGGCATGCCAGGGAGGTTACGTTTCTTCTTGACGGTGGATTTGGGAGGTGGGTTTTGGTTACCGGAGGAAGAGACGCTGGCTTCACCGCCGGAGGTGGTGGAGGAATTATCTAACTCAACCGGCATAACTTCCAAAGAAAAAGGAGTATATTTTTCATACACAAAGTTCGATTATTTCTTCTTTTCAGAGCTTTGTTTTCTATTTTTTCATCTGCCTGTCAAGCTAGCTTTTATTGAAGCTTTAGGCCACCTACCAGCTTTCTGCTCAGTTTCTCACTAAAATTCACATTACCTAAAGAGGCTCAATGATTAAACCCAAACTCTGAAAAAACGAAAACCCCCAAAGGAATCAAAACCCAGAAACCAAATCCAATCGAAAACCCCAACAGCTGAAAAATCCAAAGGTCAAAGCTGAATCAAATAACACAAAAATCTCAGGAAAAAAACACAGAGAAAGAAGATCACGGGAAACAGAGGAACTTCATGGGAAAGTTCTTTTAGAGAAAAGGGAAGAAAAATAATGGAGAAAGAGAGATCCAGGTAAAGTTCCTGGAATACTTTTCAGAGAAGAAAAACACAATATAAGTTTTAAATTATAAAAATGAGTTAATTTTGATTAGGATTGGATTAATTGTTTAGGAAGTAATAATTTAATTTTTGCAGTTTACTTGTTAGGGATGGTGTTTTGTCGTGCAATGAAGTGGTGGATTGTCTTCTGACACGACGTGGGAGAGCTGTAGTGCTTTAAATTCATGAAAAGTCAAACTACAATTGTCATTGATAGGAACGTTTTGTTATTTCATCCAATTATAGTTTGACACCTGTTTTTGGACTTTAGAACTTGGCTTATTTGATTTTTCCCAAATTCACATCGTGTCCTCTTTCCTTTCCTACCTACACTGCCTAGTTTTATAATGATAATCATGTGGACTTCTGTATATAAATATTGATTTTTTTTATATTTTGATTTCAAGAGAATCTCATTATTTTATATTATTTTTGAGCTATTCAATATATATATATATATATATATATATATATTATTTTTTAGTTTTTTAATTTTATAATTTTTACATCATTTAATAAAATTTTAAAGTACTTAATAAATATACATCATTTAAGAAAATATGTTATACAATTAAAATTATAGGCTTTGGTTTTAATATTATGAATGAATTAAATTGAATTGAAAGAACTATTATTACAAATAAAATTCTTTAATATTTATATTGAATTAATTATTTAATAAATATAATATCGATAATTAAATAAAATATTACATCATTAAATTAAATTCTATAAAATTAACAATTTCTTAAATCATTTTAAAAATAACATTTTATTGGTTTATCTAACTTATAAACTTTTTTTATTTCAAAAATGGATAAACGATACTAACGTGGTTGGTTTAAGTGGTAAGCAGTTTAACATCGCTTAAATAATGTCTCAAGTTCGAGTTCTTGTGTATGCAGAAAATTCATGTTGGGAGACTCACTCACCAAAACCAAGTGTGCGACCCGGATCGGTCTAGATTAGTCAAAGCGAAGTCTTGCAACTGGAGGACACAAAAAAGTAAACTATACTTACGACTACTTTGTATATTTTCATGTGACAACTTTTCTTTAACTTTATCAATCAGACCATCTAATTATTTAATTATTGTTAATCAAGTTGCTTACTATTAACCTTTAACGAAAAAACTAATGTCACTATTAAAGAAATTTGTATAATACGTACTTAGTCTCGATAATTATATATTTTATCGATTTATTTATAGTTTTAGTTTAATTTAATATATCTAATCTCTAATTAGATTGTGACACGTGTTACAATATAATTTAAAGATTTCATCATCTAATTGGATGAAAATTTAATTGAAGAAATAAACATGTAACATAGAGAATCAAACTTGGTTCTTAAAATCAATCAAATAGATGATATATTAAAATGTAGTTAATGAAAAATATGAAATAAAATTGATATTTACATTTTTAAATTAAATTTATTATTTATTAATTTTCACATTTATTTTTAAAATTATATATAATTATTAAATCAAATATTTTTTACTTAATTAATAATTTTAAGTTTTTAAATATGCAATTTAATAATTATTTAAAAAAATTTAAATTGATTCTTTTAAATTCTTAAAGCTTGACAAGGATGGAAAACGAAATTTATATAATTTATATTTGCTGCATTTTTAAAAGAAAAAAAGTTTTTGGCATACACGCATTCAGTCATTGCACACGATGACCAACAAGATTCCCATATGAGAAGGCTTTACATTTTCTTTGTACTGTGAAGCCCGTTATACAAAAGTGGGCCAATTTAGGCTATCGACGATCGCCGCCTACCACCACCTTAGGTCACACGAGCAGAGCTTAATCAGGGGTTTAGCCAAACAACCAGGAGGAGAGAAAGGGGAAGAAGCCGAAGCCGAAGCCAAAGCAAATGACGACGCGAATCGCTCCAGGCGTTGGAGCGAACTTGCTTGGTCAGCACTCCGCTGAGAGGAACCAAGACGCCACTGCGTATGTCGGCAATCTCGATCCTCAGGTTCTCCCTATTCTTCCTTTCCCCTTTTTTCATCCGTTTCCCCTGGTTTTTTTTAGTTCCACAGTTTGAAATCTTTTTCTCACTTTCCAGATAACCGAGGAGCTATTGTGGGAATTATTTGTTCAAGCAGGCCCTGTTGGTATGTTTAATCATCTTAGGTTTTCTTTTTCCTTTTCAATTTATTTAACTGTTGTTTAATTTCGGTTGGTTCTTATGTGAATTGAGTTAATTGAAAATGCCTGGGGTTTTTTCTATCTATCATTTCAGTTAATGTTTATGTGCCGAAAGATAGAGTGACCAACTTGCATCAAGGATATGGATTTGTCGAATTCCGAAGTGAAGAAGATGCTGATTATGTAAGTGTTAGTCCTTCATGGATCTTAGCCTTTGGTTTCATTTTTTTCCTTCTTTTTCAAATAATTAGATTTATTTGTTTGGATTTATAGGCTATTAAGGTGCTCAACATGATTAAGCTTTATGGAAAACCAATACGTGTAAATAAGGTATGAAATTCCAAAATGTGAACAATGTAAAATTTTTTTAGTCGAAGAACCATTATTTCTGTTGCTTCTTATGGTTTGTTTTTTTATTTATTGATTTCAGGCATCTCAAGATAAAAAGAGCTTAGATGTTGGAGCAAATCTTTTTATAGGGAACCTTGATCCGGTAAGTAGTAGTATACTATTAGAAAAGTACATAGATGTCATGAAGTCGTAGGTTTCCTGTTTTAACTTTGTGATTATCGGGCTATACTTGCAGGATGTGGAAGAGAAACTTTTGTACGATACTTTTAGTGCATTTGGAGTCATTGTTGCAAATCCCAAGGTACCCGACTTTACATACTCTCTTTTCTTTTTCTTTCTATTTGACGGTATGCCATTGCTTAACGAGCTCAGTTCTCTTCATATGTGAAAGCGTATGCCTCCATTTTTCTTGTTTAGTTATTGGTGCTGTGCTGCTTCTTGATTTCATATATAATTATAATTAACCAACCAGTGCATCTGTTAAAGAGTTTGTGGTTTAAACTGAAGTGTTTGCCATCATAAGTTCATAACTTAATCTGTGATTGATGATGAGATGAAGTTGAAACCTGTGAGATTGACTGCAGGGTGGTTTGCTTTTTGTTATTAGTGGCTGGATTTTCTAAGTTAGTGTTGGCATTGTTGAATGTTGATATGTTTGCATAGTCATGCAATGGCATAATCTATGAGATGGACTGGGATGCTTATATGCCTTATTATTATTTTAAAAAAATCGTTTATGGGGAACTGATTAATACGAAAACTGATAATAAGTCCTAGTCTCATTCTGCTCATCTCTTGAAAGTCGTCTAATGTGGGTTCAGAAAGTGAATAAGAAGCTAACTAAATATTTGAAGTAGTTCAATGTTTTTCAAGATTTTTCTGCACTTTGATAGTGGGTTCCAATGATCAATTTCTGACATTAGATAATGAGAGATCCCGATACAGGAAATTCACGCGGTTTTGGATTCATCAGCTATGATTCTTTTGAGGCATCTGATGCTGCTATTGAGGTATTTTTGCTTTGCCACTTACATGTTGTATGCTAATGGAATTGAATTTTTTGTTGCTGATGTCACTTCCTCAATGGAATTTGAATGTTTGATGTGACAACGGTCTATACATCATTGAATTTTTCTTCTATCTCACCAAATATGTTTACTTTCTCTTTGATGTTGCAGGCCATGAATGGCCAATACCTATGTAACCGTCAAATAACAGTTTCCTATGCATATAAGAAAGACACCAAAGGGGAGCGTCATGGCACCCCAGCAGGTGCGTTTTGACAGTTTTCACCGCATGCAACCTTGTTGTGCCTTTCTTTTCGCTGTTATTTTTATTTCGGATGTGTTTGCCATAGCAATCTGTAGGTAGCTCTAAAACTTTTCCTTGTGTTACAGAGAGAGTGTTGGCTGCAAGTAATCCAAGTTCCCAGAAGAGCAGGCCCCATACTTTGTTTGCAAGTGGACCTCCTACGCTACCTTCTGGTCCCCAGGCCAATGGTGGTATAGGCACAGCGGTGCCTCCACGACCTTTCCCGAATGGTACTATTCCTCCAAGCCCGATGCCAGTAGCTCGTCCACCACCCCCTCAAAATGTTCCATACCCACAAATGCAGCTTGGCGGACAAGCACCTTGGCAGGGTCAACCACAACATCTTGGACAACAATTTCCCCCTCCAGTCATGCCGCCTCCCCCCATGCAGTACAGGCCCCCTCCACCAAACATGCCACCACCTCCACAGGCAATGTCTGGTCTTTCTAGGCCTCCACCACCAATGTCGATGGGACCGCCACATGGCTGGCCTCAGCAAGCACCACCACCACAACAACAAATGGGTGGAAGGCCTCCTATGCCGCAAATGTCAATGCCACCCCCTCCGTCTTCGAGTTGAATTATCCTAATTTCTGTTTTCTCTTGATTCACCAGATGTGCATTTTTGTTTGATGATACAGATGATATTGTACTCTATTGATGCATTCATATCTGAAAATGAGACTTTCGATGAGATGCTCTCTTGGCCATAATATAGTTTACTGATTTGGCTTAATTGGACCATTTATCCTTTAAATTATATCTATTTTATCGAGTTATTAGTAATGAGCTTCTCGATGAAAACATCTCGTTCCGATGCTCCCAGCTCTGTAACATGAATCACTTTACTTTATCCCTGTTTCAGCCAGCTGTTCTATATCTATAGTTCATGCCCCAAATGTCGTTTTGCATTGAAGAGAGGGATGAGAAATAGGAAGCATGTTTTTTTCAGTAACAACACGTGGGGTGGTGGCTCAAGAGGGTTTAGAAGATGAGAGGAGGTTAATCCACATTTGATGGTTGATATTTTCTTGCTCTAGTGGAAATTCATTGGTTGGTTTGAATTTACCTTAAAAGGATTTTTCTGTGGTGAAAGTGGAGAGAGTGGGCCCTAGCTTGAAGAAGAGTATTTATTTGTTTTTTTATATGATATCAATTATCACACGTGATATAATGGCATCAAGAGTGAACAATCTTTCTTTAAAAGTCTCTCATGATTACGACGACAATTTAACTCAAAACTGACGGGGTCGGGTTCGGATTTTCAATTCGATAAGATCAACTTATTTTAAATGGGATTTTCAAGTTCAGGTTGGATTCGGATAGAAGTAAAAAACTTTAGATCTGATCTTACCTAGGATAATAGAGTAATTTTTTATACTCTATAGTTTTTTTAATTAGATTTTTAATTTATGTCGGGTCGGATCGAATCGAGTTGGATTTATACTTTAAAAAATTGGGTCGAATTAAATTCGGGTGAAGGATATATATTTTTTAGGTCGATCGATTTGTCAAAAATCCGACAACCCGACCAATTGTCATCTCTGGTCATGATGGTCTAACTCTTCTAACATACTAATTGTTTCATGGAAAACTAATTTCTCCCAACTAACCTTTTCAGAAAAAAGAAACACTTGTCCGCTTTAATATACATCACATTATATAGTAATGTGACTAATAATCGCTTGTGATTTAATTAGGCTAGATAAAAGGAATATATATTGAGCTTAGTCATTGCTCGGGTTGGGTTGGGTATTTCATTTATCATTCAGCCTTTCACGAATTGAAGATTTTAACTTCCTCATTAGATAAGCTTTCAATTTTTTATAAGGAATTTCTTTTATAGTTTACAGATTTTTATTGAATGTTTATTTTTTTTCAAAAAAAATAAACTAAAAATAATTGAAGCAAAAATGGCCTCATACAATCACTTAAAATATGGAAAAAAATTCTTTCAATCTCCATTGCTCATCCATTCTAAAAATGGCTTCTTTTGTTCTTCGATTCCCTCATTTTATTGGCATATTGTTGTTTTCTTGTACAAACAACCGTGGAGTGTCTGGCATACTACCATGGCCTGAAGCCGTCTGACGCCGAGGGACCAGGCGACCTCCAGGCCATCCAAAACACCCCAAAGTTCGGCCAGGTAAGCTGAACAACGACCAATATTCCTGCTGAAGCCTGAGATCCACTCGCCACTGCTATTCCGGATGACACCGCCGCATCCCGCTTCCATAGTTGTCGGGTGAGCTGAGCCATCCGTATTGAGCTTGAGAGTTCCACTTACCGGCGCTCTCCAGCAACTATGCGACTCCTGATTGTTCACTCGCATCAGAGATTTGCGACGACCATCTTTCATCGACTTCGCCCAAGCTTTAGCTGCGGTAATAGCGTCCAAACCGGAATTTACGTAACCCTTGAACACTACATTGTTTCTGTTCTTCCACAATTTCCAAATGAGGATTCCAAACAGCTGATTCCACTTATAATCACTAGTGTCCAAACCTGCAGAAGCACACAAATTTAAGTTAAGCCAGTCCAAAAGGGAGTCGAGAAGAATACCTCGTGGTGATCTTGGGGAACTAGCTGCATCCATAAAGTACGAGCAGTATGGCAATCGCGGAGGGTATATACTATAGATTCTTCACCAGCCTCACATATCGGACAGCAATCATCATCCACTAGGCCACGGCGCTTCCGTTCGGGTAACTCGGTTAATGTTGATTTCAAGACTCGAGCCTCGTTGTGTTTTGAGTGTTTTTGTATTACTGTAATGATTCGAGACTTAATTTTTTTTGTGTATTTGTTATTTTTACATACTTTATTAATGATAAATTTTATGATTAATGAAAACTCATCTTAATTTAAAAAATAGTAAAATTTAATTAAATATATTAAAAATATTTTTTAATTGGCACCCCCAAGATTGAATCTTAAGATCCACCCCTGGAAAGGACATCTCTCTTCTCCGATCTTTATAACAAAAACACTCTATGGCCTCTGTGGTAGTGAATTCATGACAGTAGAGTGCCTTCCTTGTTTTGTTTTTGTTGGAATTCGAACTGTATGATAAATTGAATCAAAGGTAATGGAAAGAATGGAAGCAAGCAGTGAAGTTTTGGATGATTTGGAGTGAGGAGAGTCAACTGAAACTTTATCTGATTCGGGTTCAAGTGGATCCAAAACTCAGGGATTTCGACAAGGATGACTATGGAGCCAACTGCCTATTCATTTTGCTCGATTTTGCATTAATGTTGAAAATGCTTAAATTTGTCTTTATACAAAAATAAACTTAGGGATCTAAAAAGTCTCTCTATTTTTATTAGGGATGGACATGAGATCCGAATCTAATTGTTTTTAAGATTTTATTTCAAAAAAATTGGATCAAATTCGGATCGGATGAAAAATTTCAAGTAGGATGGACAGTAAACAATTTTTTGGTTGGATCGGGTTGATTGGAAACCCAACCCATCGTTCATCCCTAATTGTTATGGATATTTATTTATTTAAATAGATATCTATTATGATATATTTTATTATTTATGAAATTGAAATTTTACATATTTTATCTACTCTTGGTGTAGGTAAACATATAAAATAAAAATAATAATATATAAAATTTACTTTAATATAATAATATAATCCTTTAGAGATGAGCACGGGTCGGGTTTCGGCCAATTTAACTCGACCCGAAAATTTAACACCCTCCACCGACCAGACCCCGAAAATATACACCCTCTACCCAACCCGAATTTTACCCCATTTTTTGAGATAAAATCCGAATCTGACCCGACCTGGCCCAAAATAATAAAATATATTTTTTTTATTCAATACAAAAAGGGATTCAATTGAAAAAAAATAATATATAGAGGTATTATTGTAATTATCCCTAAATATATATAAGGTAAAATTATTTTTTTAGGTCGGGTATTTTTCACCCTAAATCCGAATCCAAACATTACCTTTAAAAAAATCCGACTCAACCTGTACTCAAATTAAAAAAACCCAATCAGATCGGATTGAGTCAGATCGGGTCAAAATCCGTCGGGTTCGGGTCTCATGCCCATCCCTAATATCCCCTTCCTTATTCTCATATATTTTTTTCTTGTTATTATTTTCCCTCATTTCTTTTATTTCATTACATATATTACTTATTATTAAAATATTATTTGATGATGATAAATATCACATTATTATTAAAATACTATTTAATTATGACAAATATCACATTTAGATTACATTTTTATATAAATATCATAATAATAATCATGTCCATATATAATTCAAATATACATATATATAATATATATGGATATAATTATTATTACGATATTTAATAAAATTTAAAATTTATATAATTCAAATTATTATTACGATTGCGAATGGAGTAAATTGGGTTAGAAGGGTCACCTTTAACTCTGTGATATTTGATCTGGATTAGTAGATCAATAGATCAGATAGCCAATAGTTAAAAAAAAACCTATATGCATAACCTAATTCAACCATGTCCCAATTATCATTTCAAAGTTTCTCGCGCTAGTCATATTCATTGTCATACGTGTTATTTTTTTCTTCAATAAATGTACACACACATGTAACATGACACGGGCCGGGTTGCTTTCGACACCGACGTATAAAAATGACATTTATGGGCTTAAGTGGCCCTCTCAAATTCAAAAGGAAAAGCCCAGGCTCGATTGAGTTCGTTGCTTAAAAGAGCGGGCAACCTCCTCCTGGGTTGTTTGTTAATCCTAACTGAAAGCAGAGATGGAGACGAGGGAAGAGCAAATGAATTTGATTCCAATATCAGTTGTAAATAACTCAGAAAACGGCAGTTTTTCATTGGCTTCGATTTCTCATTCTTCTAGCAAAGAGGTATTCCGGTTTTTTGTTTCTTTCATTTTTTTATATTGTAGTTTCTTCTACTTGCTTGTTTTCTTAAACGTTTTAAATCAAGAATAAGTTGCTTCACTTATTTTCTTGTTTGATCTCTTGAATTTCGTTGAAGTATACTTTTTCTATGGTTCAGAATCTTTACTTGACCTTTGGTGTAAGCAAAGTAATGATTGGCGATCGAAAAAAATTAGGAGATTCACCCATGAATGTTAGGTTTTGCTACAAATTTAACAAATCACAAGTTCGATTAGAAATTTTCAGTTTTGAAGTTAAGTTAATTTAAGATGTTTGAAGTTGGTTTTTGTTCTTCTTTGCAGGCATTCTACAAAGTCATCCGTAGCTGGGCTTCCAAAAAGTTTATGACCGGATGGTTAGTATTTCTCCTTTTTAAATGATTCTCTTGTTTCAAAACATCTGTTTGCGTATTTAGCCAATCCCTTTTCCAAATTTTGTGTTGCTTGTTCAACTTTTTAGCCAAGAAAAGCGTAGTTTTGAATTTGGTTAGAGTAAAATCCTTCTACTTCTGCTAGTTTCTACTCCTTTTGGCAACACCAGGATATCTCATTTTTGTAATTTTATCGTCCATTTCGTAAATCTTTTCCTATATAACTAATTTGCTTGATAGATTAATAAAAGGTCCCTTGTATCATCCCCAGATTTTCCGTTTACCCGAATATTTCATTTCAATTTAGAAACGTGTGATATTGTGTAGTATTATAGATAATAATAAAAAAAAAGGATATCAAATACACCAAACACATTCTCATGACCGATACCACCCTCGAGTCTAGGTAACATAAGAGTGGCACAGTTGCTATTGTCATGGGAAAATTACCAAGAGTTATCAACTTGAGTTGAATTTGAACCTAACGTAATAATTTGATTGGGTTCAACTTTTAATAGTTTAGATTCACATTCTAATGACTGTCTGATAAACTTTGACTTGAGTAAGCTCTCTCTCTCTCTCTCTCTCTCTATATATATATATATATATATATATATATATATGTAAGATATATCTTGTCTTCTTGTTAAGCCAGCATTTTTGCAATTCTATTTGACTCATAACTGCCATTTTTTTTTGCAGTGTCATATTACTTCCTATAACAGTTACATTCTATATAACTTGGTGGTTCATTCATTTTGTCGATGGATTTTTCTCCCCAATATATAAACATCTTGGGATTAACATATTTGGTTAGTTCATTATGTATTTTCATCTCCTTTACATTGAGTTTGGGTCTTTTCAGGTTCTTTGTCAGCTCTAATGGTAACCGATATTTTCACAGGCCTTGGATTTGTGACCTCTATCGCATTCATCTTCGTAGTTGGTGTATTCATGTCCTCTTGGCTGGGAGCATCTGTGCTTAGTCTGGGAGAATGGTTAATCAGGAAAATGCCATTCATTAGCTATATATACTCAGCTTCCAAACAAATAAGTGCGGCAATATCACCGGGTAATTAAAAACTGAGCACAATCATTAGTTTTGTTTCAACATTCAAATATTCTGAAACCTATGTTACTAGAATTCTGGTGAGAATTTGATATGGCTGTATGCCCGATATGAGTATTTTTGCTAGTCTTTTCGAGTATACATCCAAATCGGGTGTTAAAATGAAGAGTCGGGATAATGTATTCTTTAACAGCAGTATGAAACTATATGAATTCCAGATCAGAAATCAAAGGCGTTCAAAGAAGTGGCAATTATTAAGCATCCTCGGATTGGAGAATACGCATTCGGCTTCATCACTTCAACAGTTATTCTTCATGGGAGTTCAGGTTCAGAAGAACTCCACTGCGTTTACGTACCCTCGAACCACCTTTACATTGGAGACATATTTCTCATTAGCTCCAACGATATTTTAAGGCCTAATCTCTCCGTTCGAGAAGGAATTGGTAAGATTTTCAGGCCAATTTATCCAACAAAAACAGAATGTTTTATATTTCTTCACGGGGACAAAGATGTAACATTGTTTTGAATTTTCATTTGATGTAGAAATTGTCATATCTGGTGGCATGTCCGTACCTCGTATACTGACCACATTGGATGCACTAGCCAATGAAGCCCAGGATACCGCTGGACTCCAAAACTCCATCACTTCCCAAGTTGATGGCAGTTGAAGCGTTTAACTTCAGAGCAATTGCGTGGAAGAAGCTTCTCCGCTGACTTTAATGGTTGATATTGGAGCTTGAAAGTACAGATACAGACATATATGGTTACTTATTTTACCCTTTCTGCTGGGTTGTAAATGAATACATATAGAACCTAATTCAAACCTTGATTTTAAGACTACAATTGACATCAAGCTTGTAATAATCCAATCCCATAGCCAAAAATTAAGCTAAATAAGAGTACTTGGACCAAAACGACAACAATACAATCACATTAATTACTCAATTCAAGCATCTTAAACAAAACTACAAACAGAATATCGGCCTGTCGGATAGAACTAAACCAACAACGCATGTCTAGAGAAAACTTCAAATAAAAACAAGGTTAAACTACAAAGGAGACACTCCTTAACTCTGGGAAGCAACGTCAAAATAGATACCAAATTGGAAATTGTTTGGTTGAGATCTAAACTAAAGCAGGTGCAATGGCAAGAGAAAGGAGCGACTCAATTTCAAGTACTAGATTTCTGTCTTTCCATCGGAATCACCTGTAATCATCTTCATCCACCCCATCATAAGAATCACGGTCACGGTCAGTATACTGATCATAACGATCACCACGGGCATCCAAATCATGTTCTCTACCTCGATGATGATATTAGATTTCATAGTGTGGGTCATCTAGGTTCGAACGCCTATGCCCATGATCATGCTGTTCATACCACCCACGATCCTCATCTGGCTCGCCATGATCATAATCCCTCTCACTGTGCCGGTCTCTCTCATGTTTGGACTCAACGCGGTCATAGTCAGATTCCCTATCCCTAGAACGCCCACGGTCACGGCTACAGTCATAGTCATCGACATCATAATCCCTGTCCCTATCCCTCTCAGGATTTCTTTCTCTGTCACGCTCATAGTCACGACCACGATCCCGGCCTCGTTCACGATCACGACCACGGTCCCTCTCTCTATCCCTCTCTTTGTCTCTAGTTCTTTCGCGATCTCTATGGTGTCTATCCTCTCTATCTCGATCCCTTGGTCTGTCACGGGAGCGCTCACGAGACTTTTCACGCTCCCTATTCCGTTCCCTTCCTCTATCACGCAATTTTTCCCTGTCCCTAAGATTTCCAAGATAAAACAAATAATTATAAATTTATAGTATAATTCTGATTGGTGACACAGATCACAAAAGCCTAGAAAATGTTGCCAGGCAGACATTTATGCTGAAATTTAGCCAGTACACCTTTAAATTATCCAGAGATGGTAAAGATAGAAAATGGTGGAACAAAGCTAAATCTTACCGGTCACCATGTTGATCCTCTCGTGTCCTTGGCTCCTCAGAACGGGATGGTACTGATTGCATTTGTTCCCTGAGTAGCAAATGATAGCATTAAATTTCCAGAAAATAACAAATCGAAGATAGCATTTAGTCTCCAAAAAACAACAAATCAAACATAGCATTTATGGGTGAGAGTTCGATTGAGTTGAGTCAAATAAAAAATTTCCGAGTTATTCGAGTTGACCTATTTTATAACTCAAACGTTATTTGAAATTTTCTCGAGTTAGTTGTTTGAGTTTCTGTCTAAATTTAATTGTAAATATTTATAATATTATGATACTGTTTTATTCTAATTTAAACGGCTTTCTATAACCGTATACAATGCATATATATTTTTTTTCATATGTGATATAGATATATCATACAAAATTGCTGGAGGTGGGATCGAGTCCCACGGTGGGCAATTCATAATTGCTGGAGGTCTTCCACGGAAGTTGCTCTCAACCTAGTGTTGAGGGCAGCCTACTACCCTACCTCCCCCTTATCCCATTACATATGGGAATAGGGTCAGCTAATTTTATACAAAATTAAGAGACTCAACTCAAACTTGAAAATCAATCCACTAATTTCTATAAATTTCAAGTTATCGTTTAGTCGTTTCCAGTGCGTTTTATCGTTTGAGTTTAGGTTTTCGGTTATGTTGAGTAGCTTAGTCTGTTGTGTTTTTTCAGTATGGTGTCTACGTTAAATCTTATGTAATTTCGGAGGAGTAATAAAGTTTCTAAGGCACTCTTTTCCTCCTTCTTTGATCAAGAAGGAGGTTTTTAAGGAGGCCTGTCATTCTTATCAAAAAAAATAAATTTCAAGTTATTCGAGTTCTATTATATAACTTGACTCAAATTTGAATTTTTTTCGAGTCGAGTTTATAAAATTACAAGTCGAGTAAATTCGAGTTTTTTCGAGTCATGTAAAAAAGAACAAGTTTTAAAGTTGAGTCAAGTTTTGCTCACCCCTAATAGCATTTAATCTCCAGAAAATAACAGAAGTCCAAGCATAGTAATAGTGAACTTCAAGTTATATGAGAACATCAACCAAGCAAAAGTATTGGATTTTAGCTAATCTCTCTGGAAGCACATGAATTAAAGGTGGTCATGTTTATGCAATTATACCAAGATTTATGCATCAGCATTACAATACGATGCATAGCCACCACAAAAGTACCTTTGAGTAACATCTTCACCTCCAATCCTGGTTGTTCCAAGTCCACCACCTAGCCTGCGAGGGCGCCAATTTGGGACTGTCCTACCACGCTCAACATCCACAATAACCCTTCTGCCATCAATCTTCCTCCCATCAGCTTGTTTATAAGCAGCTGCGAGATGTTCGAAAACATATATTAACAATGCTCTCAAAGTTTGCAAGCTCAAAAAAAAAAAGATAATCAAATCACAGCAAACCTTTCATATCCCGAGTATGCATGTACTCGATGAAAGCATAGCCTCTTGGTTTATTTGTGGATTTATCAGTAACCAACGTAACCTGGTCACAACAAAGAAATTATTAACACAGTTGAAAGTAAAGTACAGAAGAAAAAACTTCTCGTGGGAATCAGATAATTATAATTGCTAATGCTTGATCTCCACAACTAAGTTCTAGCACTACAAAAATGTTGGAAATAGTAAATTCCTAAATGGCACGGCAGGCAGGCAATATGCCTCATAAGCCGTGCTCACCTTTTAATCATAGGGCTGCCATTGTCAGATGCTGACCACCATTTGCCAGAGTTGCAGATAAACCGGTGTATCATGGCAAATTTACCAATTGTTGAACAAACTAAACTCCCCTTACCAGGAAATATTTTTAAAAAATATGAACCAGGTATAAACTAGAAAATACCAGAACACCTTCTCAACTGCTGATATGTTTTTGATAGCCTTTAAAAGCCAAAAGTAAAGCTTATATTAGCAGGAAAAGAATGGGCTAAAAACTTAAATAACAAAAGGAAGAGATGCTGGTACTCCTATTTTTTTACCCAGAGCACGAAAAATAACAGATGCCAGCCACCTTTTGTTGCTTCAAAATAAAGGCCAAAAGGCACAATGCACAACTGCTCAACATAGTTTTTCAGCTTAGCTTTGCAGGAATGAGGCAGCACTTTGGAATAGGATTGTAAAAATATTTGGGAACGAGAAACAATATAATCTCAGCCCCTTACCAGGGATACCTTTTATAGAAGCTTCTTAATGGCGGAACAATACCTAAAGAGTGGAAAGATCACCTATTTCTGGCGATGATTTCTACGTCCTACCATAGTCGAGCAACTTATAAAAGGGTCAAATGAAACATACAAATCACCCTTACCAATGATACCTGTTTTACTTTTGACAACTTTTTTTTTTGATAGGAATGTAGGCCTCGTTAAAAAACCCCTTCATGATTAATAGAACACTAAGTGCTTCTCAATCAGCATACAAAACAGGCAGAAGCTCAGCATACTCAGAGATGCAAATGAGAACTTGCGCCATAAGTTGCAACTTGCAATTTGAAAGAATACCATCAAAAGATAGAATCTTGTGATAGTGACAAATTACAGCATACCAAGTTTATGCAAACATTTAAAGAATTTGTGTTTAGCAGCTTAAGCAAATATGTATTTACATCAGAAACTTCAGTATTTACACAAAATATAGCTCGCTTTGAAAATACTGGAAATGAAAAACTTTTTAAGCATTAAAATTTATATCATGAAACTAAAATATTTTGATAAGGAAACAGAAAGGATAAAGCAGCCGCATAACCTCTTACCAAACCCGCATGAGGGTGCTCAAAAATACCTACCCGCTTAATCGGCCCATAAGACTCAAACTCCCTTTTAATTCTACTCTCAGATGTCTCATAATTCTGCAACAAATAATACAAGCAAGTAACTTACTACAGCAGGAATAATTGAAAGATGAAATTTGATACAAAACTAGATAATTTCACTTACAAGTCTAGCAACAAACAATGTCTTGTATGGATCACCTGCAATGTTGGGGTCATTATTTGGATCGTCTGCATAAAAGACGAATAAAAAAAAAAGAGTAAAAATCATTATACTAGCATTAAACAAATTCATCTATCACCAATAAGCAACAAAGAAATTGAGACTTTACAGTTTTTTAACTCCTCATCAGCCTTCTCCATACCCTTCTCTAATCGCAACTTATGAATTCTTGCTTTTCGTTGTGCCTAGACCAAGAAAAGAATATCATTAAAAAATATAACAATAAGTTAAAACCTCTTCCTTCAAAATTAAGACATAACGCCAACATAATTTTTTTTCACAACAGACACGGGTTTGACCAATTAATAGTACTAAAGTCTAGGAATGTTCACTCGGTTAGTCAGTATAAAACAATAACTGAATTAAATTAACCAAATTTTCAATTTTATTTCTGGTTACCATTCCAAATTATTCAAAATAAAACTTTAAGCAGCTAAAATATTTCAGTTAATAATTCAGTCGGCTAAGTTGGAAATACATCTTAAATATCTTAATTTTTCATAGTTCAAAAAAGCATCAACATAAAAAAAATATTAAAATGGCAAGAAAAAGTAAAAGGTGCATAAACAATAAGTTTAATTTTTTAAGAACATAGAGCTTAAAACATCCAACAAAGATTAAAAATATAACGTTCTACATATTTTGGGTCATTTGACCAATTTTATTATTTTCAATGAAAATTTGAATTAATCAATAAAAAAATACTTCAAATCATAATCGATAACCGACTGAATAGCCGAATTAATTTCGGTTTTGATAAGTTAATCCGGTTTTCACTGAATAGTGCAGAGCTCTAACAATGCAGGTTCGAACAAAAATATAAGAAACATAGCAAAAGAGATCCCAAAATAAGGGTAGCTCAGATCCAAACAGGAGAAAAATAAATAAGTGATCTCAGTGGCATATCATATTAATCCAAAAAATTCCAAATTCAACAAAACCACAGAAGAAAACATAAGAATCAGTACCAAAAACAACTTAATCAAGCAAAACATTTCACAGAAACAAAAACGCAATAACTTCAACTCAAGAACAAGTATATTACAGGTGTTTCTGCTTCCTGAACAGGCGGAGCATATTCAGGATCTCCTGGGTCAGCAAAGTTGCTCACGAACTGTGCCATCCCTAACAAAGCCAAACGAAACAAAACAAATCAATAAATTAAAATATTTCAAATTCAAACACCAAATACATGACAAAGACCTGTGTACGGAGGACATTTTCTTTTCTCAGGAGGAGGTTTAAACTCCAACGGAAGCCGTGGTTCAAAGAGCCTCAAGAGATTGGCCGTTAAACCAGTAGGATGACTTTGCCCAATCTGCAACGTAAACAAATTCCTATTTAATCATTTTTACTCCACAATAAATAGATTTGTTATCCGCATCTAATATGTCGAAAATCACAGCAAATCATCAATTCGAAAAACAAAAATAAAACTAAATTCACCCAAAAAAAAGTAACAAAATAGAAAGTAACGAACAGAAAGATAAGAATCTACAATAATACTAAGCTAACAAGTCGAGATTAAAAGTAATCGGATCAGACTCTTAAAAAAACCCTAAATCGACGAACCAGCTTGAGCTGTTGAACATTGGCGCGGTTCTGAGGGGGTTTAACGCGGGCCTGAACGGCGGCGACGTTTTGGTTGCGCATGAAGGCATCGTTGTAATCTCCCATGTTGAAGAAAGATCAGAGGAGACTTAGAGTCTCATTCCCGAAACAAATAGAAGGATTTGGATGTTAATGGTTTAGATATATAAACGACAGGATAAATTATGCGTTTAGTACCAAAATTATCACATTTATTTAATTTTGGCTACCCAATTATTTTTTGTTTTAAAATCACATTTTTTGTTTTAAAAATTAGGGTAAATTACACGCTTAAACACTAAACTTTACATCTCTCCTATTTTACTCATTTTACTTTTATTTTTTTTCAATTTATTCACTGAATTTTAGATATTGAACTTTTTTTATCATTTGATCATTTACTTCGTAACAATAAGATGACATGGTATTTTTTTATTAATATATAATGATTATGTATATTTTAATTAATATTAAAATATGATGTGTAATATTTAAATAAATAAAAAACTTAAACATCCCTCCCTCCCTCACTCCCACCCCACCCCACCCTCAGATCCTCTTCCGACCACCATTTTAACCGCCCCTTTTAGATCCACCATCGTCCTAATCAAGCTTCCATAGACCCCTAAACTGTATTATTACCATCACTATCTCCCAATCGAACCCATTGTTTCTATTTTCCGACAGAATCTCCAAAATACAACAAGCATCAAAAACACAATAGAGTCACTATCTCCCACACATAATTTTTTAACATTAAGATCTTTATCAACATAAAAAACACAACAAACTCAGTCACTAAATTCGAAAATCATACACTAAAGCACAACAAACATTCCCAAAAAAAAAACAAATAGAAAAGGGAATGAACGTTTGCCCCTCTATCGTTTAGCCTTCATGATGGCCGACGACAATGTGAAATGGTGATGGTGAGCAGTAAAAAAAGAGAGAGGAAATCAGAAATAAACAAAAAAGAGAGAAAAGCAAAAGAAAGCAAAAAGGTTGAAAGTTTTACCTTTGATTTTTTTAATGCGGTGGTCGAACAACCATTCCACACGATAATAAGAAACGCAACGGTGAAGGGACGGTGGCGTGATGATCGAAATTTGGGGTTGTTCATGTTGAAGACAGAAATGGGGTAAATGGTGTGATTTGGAGATAGAGGAGGGGTGGAGGTGGAAGAGAAAGAGAAAGACATAAAATGAAAAAAAAATAAAAGAAATTTAATTTTTTATTTATACCAAAATGACGTCGTTTTGATCTAAATTTTAGTTTTTCGAAGATTCAAAACTACGTCATTTTAGTACAAGTTGCCACGTCATAACGCCGTTAATTATTTAATGGAAGAGTAACAAAAAAAGTTCAATGTCTGAAGTTCAGTGAGTAAATTGAAAAAATTGAAAGCACGGTGAGTGAAATATGAGAGAGAGTAAAGTTCGGTGAGTAAGCGTGTAAGCTATCTGAAAAATTAATGGTGATGTAGATGTATTACCATAAGGTAATGACACATCATCATTCAGAAAAATTAAAATTTTTCACTCATCGGTTATGTTAATTTTTTAATAGCAAGTAACCAAAATGAAACCAAACCGTAACGTAGATATGATTTGAAAAAAATAATTGAGTGACTAAAATAGAACAGAAATGATAATTAGGGTACTAAACGTGTAGTTTACGTTAAATGAAAAGAAGCATTCATTAAATAATTTTATTAGGACAAAATAACTTTTAATCACCAAAATTGTAACATTTTTTCAGTTTAATCCTTGTTTTTTTATCCACGTTAGTTTTAAACTTGTTAATTTTTCTCAATTTTAGGATCGTTTGGTGTGGCTTTCTAAAAATATTTTTAACTAAAAAGTTTGTTTTGACCGTAAAATCAATGTCAATTAGGTAAAAAATGAAAAAAATGTTAAAACCAACTGCAAAAGGTAGATTTAAAACTTTTTTATTTTTAACTTTGCGTGTGGAAGCAAATTATAATTTTACCCTTACTAATGCATGAGTTCCACTCAATTATGTATTTACATTTTATTTTGATAATTTAATAATAACATCCTTAAAAATAATTTATTACTTAATAATTTATTTTAATTAAATAAAATTCATGGTTTATATATTAAAATATTAATGGTGACTTATTATAAAATATATTTTTATTATAATTATTTTTTATTTATATATTTTTTATTTTTATTATAGTTTAAATTGGTATATATATATATAATTTTTGAATGGTTAAAATGATAAATATATTACTTAAATTATGTTATTTTAAATTTTAAATGAGTGATTGTAGCTGAATTGGAATAATTAAACATCCCATCTCGTTATGAAATGGAATTAATAAGAGATACCATAGCTTTTGGTATTATAAATTCACTTTATTTTGCAAGCATTAATGTATTATTTGGTAATATTCTTTTTGTCAAATAAGTATTGAAATTTTTATTTCTTACTAATTTTATATCCACATGTGAAAAGTATTTATAATATGTTTTGCCTTCATAAAATATTTAATTTATAAAAATATTATTAATGAGTTATATTAAAATATTTTTTATATTGTTATTATAGTTTAAGTTGATATATTTTATATATCATAGTATTAATAAGTGCAAATATAATTTAAAATATATATTTTTAATTTACAACATAATATATATAATGCACATTTTATATTTTCAAACTCACTTTTTAACATCAATCACAAATAATTAAATTTTAAACCGCACTTTTAGACAACACTTTTAAAAGTTATTTTTACGTCATTTTTGAAAATCATTTTTCAAAAGTCTTGTCAATCTGACCCTTAATTTATTCTATGATATAATACTTCAATATTATTTCATGTGATAGGATTTCAAAATATCACATTATTAACGTTAATTTATTAAAATAATAAATTTGTAAATTTTTATCTGAATATGATACGTAATAATATTATCGATCAAAATGACATTCTTTTGAAAAAAAAAGTGTGTTACGTTAAAACTTAACACACCTTTTAAAAATCATAGTTTTAAAGTACTTTTTAACTTACATATTATTATATTTTTTCTTGGATAATATTTTCCATGTTTACATGATCAAAATAAAAAATAAAAAAAATATCATTCAAGAAAAAGTAACCTAAGTAGTACGTGCCAACTTTCTATACATTTCTTTTTAACGTGTCACATTAAAACATAGATCATTTTTTGAACATGACATATTATTATTTCTTTACCCATTGAATAAGAGTTAAATATATATATATATATATATATATATATATATACATACATAGATGAGCAATCGATCATAATGTAATAAATTAATAATATAAAGGTTATAACATAATTTTTAAATAATAGGAAAAAACACATACTTCTTTTTATAATTTAGAACGGATCTCGTTAAAAACTCTTTCTAGACTTAATAAAAAGAAAAACAAATGTTCAAAACCATTAACCAAACATAGCGTCTTTTACAACAATATCAGTTAAACACAAAGGGTAATCATGCATATTGAAAAGAAACAGATTCTAAGGATGTCGATGCAAGGTTGGCCAATCTGAGAGAAGCTTTATTTACAAACCGATGGATCGAGTGAACATTGTGTTTAGATGAGAGTCAAACATCTGTCGAGCTTCAGTCAACGTGAAACAAAGTAAAGACAAATCAGACTCATGGTTTAATAATTGGTTAACCACTGGAATCACTTTCAAAGAATACATGGGAGAAACCCAACTCAATTACGCCACTATGTTATTAATCTAAAGGATCAGTGTTGTGCTTTTATAGAAGGCGATGAAGCGCATATCCCTCTTGAGCAGCGCGCTTCGGGTTTAACTCTCTCTATTGGTAAGTGGTGCTCTCATTCATATCTTGGCTTGATAATGCTAATTCTCTGAACTTCTTCATGTCAGCTTCGTATGAACTTTTGCTGTAATCTGTGGTCTCCCCATAAGAAGAATACACTGTGCTATAGCCTGGCTTTACACCCTCGTTCAGGTCATCCAATGAAGAGTTTCCTTCTAGGGTTCGAACAATCTGCTTCCCACAATAACATATAATATCATATAATAAAGAGACCGGTTAATTTTGATTCGAATCCGAAAATCCAAAACCATTTCACAAGTATAAATTAGCTATTATGTCAAATTAGCTATTATGTCAAATATATATATATATATATATATATATATGAGATGCTATTGATGTTTGATTAAATAATCACTTTAGTGTAATGAATCTAAAATATTTTTAGTGTGAGCATATATATTAATAACATAATTTTTTTTTCATTTGAGGTGACCACAAATAAAATTTATGATAGACATCCTCTGTAAAATGAACACTTAACATAAAAATTCGAATTTCAGGATGAGCATACGTCCACTTTGGACAACATTTACATCTGTCACTTCACTCACTTCACTTTGGTTTTTATTTTTTAGAGTATTTTAGTCTCACAACCTTTTATTTTAAGGTAAAAAGATCTATAATATTTGATTAAATAGTCGATTTGGCCTTTATTTTTTTAGAGCATTTTATCTCATCAACGTTTTATTTTAAGACAAAAAGTTGTTACTACTTTAGAGGATTAACCAGTTATTGATTAACTGTTTCTCTTCAAGGAAGAATCTTTTTATTAAAAAAATGTTCAAGATAAAAATACTCCAAAAAAAGAATACATCAATTATTAAAAGCTTTGGATTTTTTTTTGATATCATGCATATAAATTAACAGGAGAAAGAAGGGAGTTAGGGGAGATCATTGCAAACCTGACTCGTTTTGGGGCGCTTTCGAGCTGAATGTCTGATGCTGGCAGCAGCACAGGCTATCATGCGTTTCATTTCTTCATGGTTGTTGTTCAAACGTGGATCAATCAGTGGACCTAGGTCGCCATCCTCGAGCCCTCGAGTCAAGTGTGGTCGAGACTGTTTTCAAAGAATAACTCTAACGGTAACACACCATTTCTCTGTGATTTTCTCATACTGGTTAATGAGCCTTATTTGGAAACTAAAGATAGTGTATGATAAGCCTTTTGGTCTCAAATTTCTTTAAGCAAACTATATACAATTGTTTGCTTTTCACTGTTACCCGAATGTTCCCATCACAAGAGTTGAGACATGGGTGTGGTTATCTTCAGACAACTTAGCTAGAGATGCACATAGCCGGATTTAAATCTGATTCGGTTTTTTCACCAAGCCAAAAAATCGGTTTATAAAAAAATCGGTTCGGATCATAACCGGTTTGGAGGGCTGGATGATGTAACCGGTGTAACCGATTTTAATCCGGTAAAAAATCCGGTCATCCAATTTTTTAAACCTCATACCGGATTTTTTTCGGGATAAAAAATTAGTTTTTTATCCGCTTTTTTTCAAACCGGTTTTTAATCCAGTAAAAAATCCGGTCGTTCAAAATTTTCCCAAACCGGTTATACTATCCGGTTTTAAAATATCCGATCCGGTTTAAAAAAACCGATTTTTCCCAAATCTGATTTCGAATATTTTTTACGCAAAATCGGATATTCGAATTTTTTGTGCACCTCTAAACTTAGCCAATCCAAAATCAGCTGCCTACAACAAAAAAGACAAACCGTGTGCGAACCGGTGAGGGAATGTGTACTAAAACTCCGGTTCAATTTTAAGAGATGATACCTTGGCTTCAAAGTTGTGGTCAAGCAAAATATTAGCTGATTTAATATCACGATGAATAATGCGAGGATGGCATGCATGTGTAAATTCAACCCAATCTTCACGTTATAAAATCAACGAAATCTTTCATATATACACTCGGCAATGGCCATGCAAAATAGAAAAGACTTAATATCAGTTCTTGTTTTTAGCCGTTCAGTATTCAGTGCGTTTGTTTCATACTTCTGAATGATTTAGTGTTAATTGATTCAACAAAACAGTTCTGAATGATTCAACACAGAAGTACATTCTGAATCATTCAGAGTCAGTTATCAAACAACATGTCACATTCAGAGTCAAACCATTCAGAGCTTTTGAATTATTCAGCATTTGAATCATTCAGCGCTTAATCATTCTGAAGTAAACAAACAGCCCCTTAATATCAGTTTTCAACTACAAAACTTGTTCCACTTCCCTCCTGCATGATCGTTTATTTTCACACTTGGAACAAACCAAGCCTCACAAAAAAAAAAGTTGATGCACAATTACTGACCAAACTGATAGAAAACGGTAATGCAGTAACAAACACATTAATTTAACACGTGGAACAGTTGAAGGATATTACAAGGGGTAAAAATCAAGATTTATGTCGTATAAACAATGATTTTTTTTTTCATAATGTAACCTAAGTTCACCGTTAAATTTTTGCGATTTTAAGTGCGAGTGTTTGATATTGCACATCCACCATTTAATTTCTTTTTGGGTTTTTATTTTTTTTTCTTTTTTAATGTATAAATTTAAGGATTAGTTTAAAATGAGTGGTATAGTTTAGAGATATATAATATAATTAACTCAAAAAATAAAAATAAAAAGTTGGAGAGAAGAAAATAATATTTTATTTTACTGAGGTTATTTAATGGGTTTTAATTATATTTTACTCTTCAATAATTTGTTCCTTTACTTCTTCTCGACTGCCTATATTTCTTATTTTTCTTTTACATTTTTATATTAGATCTAGATTTCTCTTTCAATTTTTAGTTTTTAAAATATTTGATTTTGTGAAACTTTTTTTATGTCTTTATGACACATTTTCTTCTGTCTTTGGGTACGTTATCGATCTTTTGACCGTTATTTTCGTTTACTTTTTTCAGGGTTGAATTTGACATCGTCTCGAATGACCAAAGTGGTGTTTATTTGTTATTAAGCTGATATTCCCTTCTATGGATTTTCAGATTGAATTTTGATACGTGGTTTTACATTTGTGGATAGTTTTCTCACGTCGCTTCATTCTGATTTGCGGTTTGTCAGTAGTCTTTCAATAGTTTGATACTTTTTTGTGGTTCGTTTGTCGATGCGATCAGGTTCATTCATATATATCTTTTGTTCGAGTTTTGATTAGAATTTTAACATTTCCTTTCTATGGTTCATGTATGCTCTTTAGTGACTAGTTTTTTGTGTCAATAAATTTAAAAAATGTCCAATTATGTGTTTAGTTTATAATTATAATTGTAAACTTTCGTTATAATTTTAGATATTTTTTCTTTTCAATAAAACTCGCATTTTTATATAAAAATAAAAAAGGAAACATTTTAGTAAGTTTACAAGAAAATTACCAAAATCGTTGAACCTAAGTTGAATTCTATTATGTAAAAACAATAAAAGAAAACTTGGGGGAAATTAGTTCACGCAACAAGACCAAACGTCTCGAATTCCGATGATCCTTTTCCCCGCGCAAAATTTTCATTCGTTAAAATGTCAATTATTCTGTCTTGCCGTGCTTCCGTTTCTCTTTAAATTCATGACGGAAATCCGGTCGCTTTAGGTATGATCGAAATCATTGGTATCTATTATGATCAGATCGGAGTTGCACATTTTATTTCTTGAAATTGTCTTATCTATGAACAGATCGGAGTTGGAGACTTTATTTCGTGAAATATGCAATTATTTCTGAACTGTTGCTGTATCTTTTCAAGTGAGTATTTACTTAGAGTGATTTTTCATTGATATTTTCCTCTTTATTTTAGCTTATTTTCAAGATGGAAGGATTCTCGATTGGATTGTTCTTTCCCTTTTCCATAAGTTAACCAGGTTCTTCTCTCCTCAACTATCACCTAACCTGCTTCCTTTGAATTTGTATTTACTATTTAGTCTTTCGACTATTTTCTGCTTATTTTTCTGATTTAAACTCAGAAGTCGTAACCAGAGGCTGGCTTTTTAAATCAATAATATCTGGTAACAAAAGAAAACTATATAACGGGTGAAATCTAAAGATAAATCTCTAAATTTATATTATCAAACATAGTATTTAATTTAGCTCAATAAAGGTCAGATGAACGTACAAACAGATAATAATAAAAAAGCCAGTAGCAACTTAGATCTATGGATGCCCGACTGCATATATATATATATATAATATTTCATTGTGTTTTTTGATCCTTCAGCAGACCTGAAAGACAAGTAGGATAAGTTAGTTTCTGGAAAAGGAATTTATTGATTTTATATGCCTAAGTGGAAACCTTGAAAAAAATCTAAAAAGTCTGATAGCAACACGATTTTTAAGCATGCAGCCAGTGGTTCCATATAGGTTTGGGAAGCAATTTTTCTCTCCTGTTTAAAGACAGATGCAGAAAATATTGACCCGGGCTTGTGATTTTCATATTCTAACATGTGATTTGTTTGGGCCGGCAGTGCATAGTACCATTGACATGTTATCGAAAAGACTAAACTACTGGAAAGATAGGATCTCATGTGGGCTTGGTTAGGCTGGAGACGATTAATTCCAAGGAGTCTTGTCAATAAGAACACTAAATACATATAAATGATCTTTATAAGTTGTTGGTTGACCTGTACGGTTGCCCAATCAGTGCTCAGTAAGAAAAAGAAAGAAAGAGCTGATGGATCACAGAGAAAAAGGGACACTTGAAGACTCCCACTTTTCTGGATTTCTTATGAACCCACTTGGGTAGTTCAGTTTTCAATGTTTAAGGACTTGAGGCGTATGGCAATGTATGATCCAACTTCCAAGTGCGTCTGTGTGGAGCAGGAAGGAAAAGGACGTCATGGATATGTCATCTATGTTAATTCTGAGAATCACTTGTTAAACTGTCCTTTGATATTGATTCATGCATATTAAACTGTCCTTCATTCTTTGTTATCTGTAGTGTGTGTAGATAACTAGCAAAACTTGACAATTGAATAGTGCTGTAAATGTTAGGATATATTTGGTTTAGTATAAAACTCACTGCTTTAGTTGCTGCTCCCACTTGGATATGGATAAGGGTACCGGCCAGATTCAATGTCTTTGAGATCCCTGACTAAGATCTCATAGTGCTGCTTGACTTCCTCTGCTGACTTTCCACCCACAGCCTTAGCAATGTTGTGCCAGCGATCAGGAGTGTCTTGGTTGTATTTAGCCAGAGCCTTCTCGAACATTTTGTTTTCCTTCGCTGTCCAGGAGGAGCTAGAGCTACGCCACGAAGTGAGAGAATTAGACGCCATAGGTGAAGTTCTTAGTATAACAAACAACTGATAACGGAGGATTTATGAATAAGCTCTATCGAATGATGGGGCTGAAAAGGTGAAAATTAGAACTATGTGGTGCCTGAATGTGAAAACCAAGGTGTAGAAATGATGGCTTGTTTCTCTCAATGGAAGATTGCTTGAAGCTAAGGAGTGGTATGGGGGGATATCATGAAAGGAGCTCCTTATAAGCAGGAGGAAAAAGTGGGGTGAATATATCCTCCAAAAGGGTATAGTGACCCGTCTCCATATAGGAACCACAAGATGTAGCAGCACATGGAACAAGAAGAGAAGAATCAATATCAAATAACAATCTATACTTTTTGAAAAATCAAACCGTACGTATTCTTTGATTAGGTCAGAGGCAAGTGGAATTTTCTTTCATATGCACAGTCAGTGAAAACAAATATCAGATGTAGATAACTATTAGCTAGAGCAAACTCATCATCCTGTGTTGTGTTCTAATGATGCATCAATTAAACTAACCTGTTGTTTGTCAGCTAAAGATAATTTAGTCCACTTTCTCTATTATGAAAGTGACCATTAGAATAATTGAAAGGTTAATGAAACTCTGGTTCTAGCACCTTATAGTTTTTTCCTATGTCTGAAGAATTTTTTACACTCTTAGTTAGGCTCTAAGTGGATTTCAGAAACATACAACTGATTGGCATTGTTCCATGAGTTTGTGCTCATAAGATTATTGTTTGGAGTTTCCAATTAAAATTACAAGGCTGCAGCTGTTGAGTGTTAATTAATGGTCTATGTACTCAGCTCTCAGTTAAGTGCAAACACTTAACCAAGCCGTATGCAGTTCCTTAAAATGAAATAAGAAATAGGTCCATTGGGTCATCACCAGCCAACAGAAAGAGGAATTTCTGTGGAATTCTCATGACCATTGAAGCCGTAAAAATAGCTTCAAAATATCATATTTCTTTGTTTTGGTCAGCCAGTTAACCATCTGTTAAAAATGTATAAACTGCAAGCTGCACAGTTTCTGTATCTTTATGGCAAACATTGCGATACTGCAAAATGTTTAACCCCTTTGCAAGCTTGACAGATAAATCGCTACGGTATAATTACCTCAATGATGATGAAATAAACCAACATAAAATTATACATCATCAGTAGATCAAATATTAATCTATTTACCCAACACTCAAATTTTATAATTCTGCTTGCTTCATGTAATACATAAAATTACAAAGGTCGATAGGGCTAGATACTTACGAATAGTTTGTCAAAGTGTGGGCCTCCTACTGGACTGCTACCAAATCTTGGGAGATCGCGATGATGAATCTTATCATTTTCGTCTTTTGCAATCTGTCGACAGATTATGACCTTTGACTCTTCCACTTACCATTATTCACTGAATTGTGTAAATTATTGTTTGGAGTGTGAGGAGGGTAGTTTCACGCCATTTTTAATATACGGTTAAAATAATTCTTATCGAAAATATTATTATTTTTAAATATTTTTAGTAAAACGTTATCTAAAATATTATTTTTTAACGAAAATATTATTTTCGATAGAACCTAATATTAACATTTTCGGTAGAAAAAATAATGTTTTAGGTAACGTTTTACCGAAAATGTTAAACATTTTAAGTAGCGTTCAATATTAACATTTTCAGTAAAAAAATAATATTTTAGGTAGCGTCTTACCGGAAATGTTAAAAAATAATAATGTTTCGGATAGCTCATTTCCTTAGCCATATAGTAAGGTTGTCGTACTGGAGACATCCCGTGTGAGGCATATCGATTCTCAACTGAAGATAGCGAGAGCCTTGATTTACTGTGCAAGTGGTTGGAGAGACTGGTCTTAAAGTTCTTATCGAGCGAGTCGATCGCGAGTTAGACAATGTTCCGTTAAAAAAAAGTGTTGTTCAACTCGACTTGTTGTTAATTAAACTCATTAAAATTTTGCTCGACTCGTGCTTGTTAAAAAAATTTATCGACTCGTTGCTCATTAAAATTTTGTTCGACTTGTGCTTGTTAAGAAAATTTGTTGCTTGTTAAGCGCGTTGCTCGTTAAACTCACCGAAATTTTTATTTAATTTTTTTAACTATAAGTAAATTTTACTACTACTATATAAAACTTAATATAAACATAAATTAATAAATTTAACAAAAATTTATCAAAAGAGTGTATGAAACAAATTCAAAGTCTAACCACCAAAATAATAATTCATAAATATTTTAAAATAATAATTAGGATTTGATTTTTGGTTGTAGTAAAATAATAAATATAAATTATTAAATTAGTATTTTTAATTATTTATTATAAAATTAATAGATTAATAATTTATCATATTTTTTATTATCTATTAGTAAATTAGTGATTTTTTTTAATAAAAATAACTTTTTAAGATAACTACTAAAAAGTAATAAAAAAATTAACGAGTTACTCGCGAACTTATTGAGTTGAGTTGGACTTTGATCGACTCAACTTGTTAACATTTTGAGACAAGTTTAATTAGAGTTGAGTCAACATGAATCAAGCTTTTACCGAGTCGAGTTCAAACTGTTCACGAACTACTCAACTCATTAAATACCCCTAGACTGGCCTTAATCAAGTGGTTGGATCCAGAAATTGCTTTCCAAGCAAAGGAAGTACGGAAAATTTTATTCAATTTTTCTATCCTTTCATAGCAGTATGATTTCGAGTTCAAATTTACAGTATAATTGGGGTACAAGTGATTGTCTTAACTTGGTTCACACTTCAATGCCAGTACTTAGGCTTAGCTATAATTTCTCACCACATAACCCTGGCTCCTTCACCGTCAATTTGGCCTTTCCACTTTGGAAGCCAATATTGTCATAGTATAGCTTGTTTCTCAAAAACATGATATAATAAAAGAAGTGTACTTTTGGGGCCTAATCATTGGATGATTCATTACAATGGCTTTAATAAATGTGTAGCGAATATGTACTTGTATTGTTTTATATCTTCTTGCTAAGATTTGGAATCCTTATCATATCACCTCATTTCCTCTAAAGTAAACACAGAAGGATTCCCAGTTTTCCCTCAGTGGCGATTGTTCTCATTTGATGGTTGCTGCTTTGTATTTTACTTAAAGAAGTGACAGAAATCGTCAATAGAAGGTGCCTTGATGGCCTTTATGTTTCTCTTGGGGTTAGATTCCATACTAAAAACAGAATATTTAAACCTCCAGCAAAATTAGTGGTATATATTTATTAGCTGGGCGAATTCACTCGGCTGTGCATTTCCGTTATTTTAGATAAATTATTAAATATAGTTCAATATATTAAGAGGAGGGGAAGAAAATAAAAAATTTTGTATAATCAATTTGTTGAAAAAGAGAAATAAAAATTTTAAACTCTATTTTTAAATTTCTAGATCCGTCACCTTTTATTGGTTTTTAAACAAACTGGTTAATGGGTCAATCAAGCAGTAAAATTTTAACATTTCAGGGTGAAGAAAGTAAATCCATTACTTTCGTCTAGTCTACATCAGCTGGCATAAGCATGGAAACAAGCTTAGGGAATTAATCTTTGAACAAAAGAACAGATGGTGTAGGAATATGTTAGTGACAAGTGAATCTGATCGAGAGAACAAAGGATTTTTTCCAGTTATCTTGTTTTTATCTTTTTTGCCTTACAAAGATACAATAATATTATAAATAATTATAAAACTCGAATAATTCGATTTGACTCAAAATTCATAAACTCAAATCGATTAAAAATTTAAATAATAAAATAGAATTTGAATCGATTTTATCTCTACTGTAGGATAGAATATGTAGCCTGTATCAGTTGGTTGAGATATTGAACAGATTATTCATGGGACGTTTGTCCTAACTAGCATCAGTAAATTTTCCGCCACTTATTTCGTATGTACTTTCCCCCCCCCCCTGCGGTTTCTGTCTTCTAGGGTTATACTTCGGTTCTGAACCTGCAGACTTTATTAGCATTTTGAACCTCCTAAGATTAAGCTGCAATAGATATCGGGGCCCTGGTCCAGTCTTCCGATGTTTCATTATCATTCACACATTGACGCAGCTTGCATATGTTTCTTTTTTTTTTTTTGGAATTGATACAGCCTTTTTTATCTCTCTTTTTGAAGAAACTGAGCTTGTAACACCTTAACTAGAACAGAAAAAACTATCAGAAAAGAGTAAAACAACTTATTTTTAAGTTAGATCTAGGTCATGGGTGTTTTTCTGATAATTCATATACATTTAGGAGATAAAGAGCTATAACATAATAAATTATGATAAAAGAGAAAATCTTGTGAGTATCAAATCAACCTAGCGTCCAAGAAATATACATCTAAAAACAGAATAAGAAGAGAGTGAACTACAAAGCTCAGTGAATCCTTTAAATTGTGAAACGATAGAAGAAACTCCAAACAAGTCATGAATTCATATCATACAATAATATAAATAAAATCATAAAGGTCAATGCATTAAATCATCAAATATGATATGTAGGCTAATAGGTGCTAACTACTTAATCATCCATTAATTGTCAACATGTTAAGTTCTGACAAAAAGGTGCGGGTTTATCTCTCTTTAATGGAGAACCATATGAAGGCACACGTATTTAGCTATCAAAATATAAGAACTGTCTAACAAGGTGTGACGTTATCAACCATCGAAATAGAGAATCACCTATATAATTCTTCTCGTGGCAAACCCACGTCTCGATATAACAAGATAATGTGTATACATTTCATGACGATAGATTAGGAATGTTATTAACTTATCAGAGTTTCGAAAGTTTTAGGAGTGTCAAGATACAAGAATTTTCCACATAAGATCATGACATGTTATTATATTCTAAGAACATGCATACATTGTTAATTGCACATGCAAATAATCATAGACCGTAAATTAATCAACAGAAGATACTCAGATTACAGTCATATACTGACGATTCAATATAAAGTTAAATCAAACATAATTAACAGAAAATCAAATATCTTGCAATACAAGTCTTAATTGCATCATACATATTTAACACTAGACAAGGAACTCATCTCTAGGATGGCAAGAAGCTATTAGTTTATCGTGCAATGTGCTTCCCTCGATCAATGACAAGGTTGGGTTCCCCAGTACTAAATCCTAGATCCCAAAATATCACTATATTAATAAATGTATCGCTAAATCGAAGACTAACATTCTAAATTCTAAAAATTCTAATTCTCT